TTTCATCTAGCATAAAAGAAGTCCTCCTAGGCTATCAGGCATCATATAATCAAGCAATTCTATCATGCAATTCCTAAAGATCTGTAGCCTATCACTAGCATGCTGTTTTAACATATCATAATATTAAATAACAGTGTGGTAAGTTGGGGTCTACTTACTGGTTCCGACTGATCATACACATCATATCCTTTCTTGATTGTTTTTTAAAACAATTTTGAAAATCATTTTTAAAATCTTTGTAGTTCCTTAGTTTGAGACTGGATTCACACTGGTGTTCCTCCAATTCGCTCAAACCAAGGCTCTGATACCAACTTGTAACATCCCAAAAATCACAACCAATTTAAACTTTTCAAAACAACCCATTTACTAATAAAAGTGCTTACAAAACATTGTTTCCAAAACATAATTTAAAATCAGAGTCTCCCAAGACCAACAACATAAAAATCAAGATGTGTATGGTCACGCATCCGCCTCGCCACGGTCCTTTGAAGTACCTGAAACCATAAACTAAAACTTTAAGCACAAAGCTTAGCGAGTTTACCCCAAAGTACCAACGCACAATACACATATCATATACAAACAAACATGCTAGGTCCAATAAGTCATCAGACTGGAATACCCCTGGGTCCACAGCCATCGGGCTGGATTACCCCTGGCCTAATCAGTCATCGGATTGGAATGCTAATATACAACAGGTCCATTCAGTCATCGGACTGGAATACCAATATACCACGGGTCCACTCAGTCATCAGACTGGAATACCCTCGAGTCCACAGCCATCGGGCTGGATAACCCCTGAGCCCACAGTATAAGTATGGCTTTCCTATCGGGCCCACATCTCATATATGGCTTGCTCCAGGGTTTGTTGGCTACAACATAAAGCAGTACAACCTCAACCCAACACCATATGTCGACATATACATAACAGATAAACATATAATCAGTCAACAGTCAAACAAGCCGATCTACGGATCACTACTACATAGTAACATCCTATAAACTAGAATACAAATCTAACAAATCACTACAACATAACAACATACGGTAAACCAGGATATCAATCCAATGGGTCGGCCTTGGTGCCTTCGACCCGAAAGTATAGTGGGGAAAACTCACATCTCGATCTGAACAATAGTTGATGAGGTCCCGACTCCGAATCTCAGCTCTAACCATCACCTATCCATCCAATGACCACTTCTCAAACACAAACCAAAATACCCAAAATACCCCTAGGTCAAACTTGGTCAAAATCAATTAAAAGTCAAAATTCTCAAAAAGTAAATCGAGTCAACCCAGCTGAGTACGACCATCGTACACATCTACACGATGATTGACCAGGCATGGTCATGTTGACCACGTACGTGTAGTGTACGCCTTATACGCCCAGCGTATGCAGCTGGCTGCCAACCTAACTCATTAATATCTTAAACCTTAACCCCTTAAGTCCATTTTCCAGATCCAAGTCCAAAATGATGTCTTTGACCATAAAGTTTCCAACTTTATGGTTTTGCATGGCCATTAAGTGCCCAACACCAAAGATCCTAACCTTTTAATCCATTAAGACCATGCATGAGAAGAAACTAGTGTCCAAGATTACATTTTTATGACTCAAGAGGCTCCAAAACCTCTAAAAGGACAACTCAAATGGATTAGAGTAACCCCTACTCATAATACCAAGCTTAGGGGACCAAAAAAACATAAAGCCCAAAACAAGATCTAAGTATAAATTCACCAAGCCCAGAACTTTATACCTCCAAGAGATGCCAAATGATTGTGTGATTCTAGATCCAAGGTGCTTTACTCCTCCAAGATGGTATCTACTTCCTTTATTCTTCTTCCAAGGCATAAAAGACATATACTCAAGCTCAAAATGCTCACAAAGTAGATTAGGGTTTGCAAAAACGTTTTGAGAGGATGGAAGCTGATGAAGGGAACCATGTTTGAGAGTTAATTAAGAATAAATAAGGTCCAAAACCTTGGATTAGGGTTTTACGTCCAGACGTGCTATGCCCGAAGTACACTAGGAGTACACCCCACATACTCCAAAACGACGACATTTTCCTTTTATGGGCCTTACGCCCAGCGTACTTTGGGAGTTCACTCCGCGTACTCATGCAAAGCGTTTTCTTCCTTACATCACATGGGACCAATTTGTAATCAAAACCTATTCCAAGGGGCTAAAAGGAAAATACTTGAAAATCAGAATGTTACAAAATGAACGACACGTGGCATGGAAATCAACACATCTTATGGACACAACGCATCGACCAGTTTTCGTCCCTATAAATAGCAGCCTCAAGTTCATTATTTCGCACACCTTTTATCCGAAGTCTCTCTCTTTCTCCCTCAAGATCTCAGTCCCATTGTGATTTTATTTCTCATCCTTAAGTATTGTTAGCGAAGTGTTGAAGTGTTGGAAGGAACCAACAAGATCTCAAGAAAATGATACACATTCGGTAAACAAGTAAGTTATAATTTCGCTTAAGTATAACTTGATATAGAGTATACCCATTGTCGTTGTATATGAAAGTATAAATGGGATTAATGAAGGATCTAGTTATCAGTAACTAAATTCCATAGTTATTAATCAAAAATAGTATTATAAGTTAATACGTGCTTGGCTTGCATGCTCGCTGGTTGAACCGCAATTAGTAGTTCAAGTAATTACTCAGGTGAGTTACACTAACTCATTTATTATGTTATTTGTATTTGTATATATGCTAAACATAAGTGATCTTATAAAGGGAAGTAACCATGTGAGTTTTCACCAACTATCCTATTATGTAAACTTTGCATGTTTGTGTGTAAAATTGTCCATGAATGTCCTTGTACGTAAAGCGGAAAAGGTTTAGGGTCCCATGGTCTATAGGTGAAAGGGATGGACTAACTGACGATATCATTTGTGGAATCAGCTAGAAGTAAGACAATCATGACGCTAGTGTAATTAGTCTTACCTTGATCATGACGTAAATGTATGATCAATCCTCCTTAGTGTGTATATAGGTGAAAGGGATGGACTAACTGACGATATCTTTAGTTGAATCAGTTAGACGTAAGATAATCATGAGCCTAGTGTGATTAGTCTCCCTTGATCTTGACACAGATGTGTGATCAATCCTCCTTAGTGTGTCCAATATGTATTAGAATTCATATGTTATGTGAACCTATTTGGAGGTATATGATTAATATAATGGATGAGTTTTGTGTTGACTCGCTAATTGTTTTCGTTTACCCGTTGTTATTAATATTTTTCAATATTATTAGAGAAGAACATAGCTTAACTGCAACATCCTCTGCATTACAATTTTAAACTACTTTGAAAATAAGAAGTGTTCAGCTATTTATTGTTAATGACAATGAATTATGTAACACCGAAATGAATGATTTATAAGTGAATGATATTTTATTATCAGAAACTAAACAAATCTTCTATCCTTTTGAACACAAGGTGCTACAAAATGTCTAAAAAAGCTAAAAATATTTTTAAAAAAACTTTTGAGAAAAAACTAAAGTATGAGATGAATTTGTAAAAGAATTCAAACAAAAATTGTAAAGTTTATAATTTGGGCAAAAAATATTAATATACAAATGATGTGTTAACTTGTAATAACATGTCATAATTTCATTAATTTTTTTACATTGTAAATTAAAATAAATTAAGTAAAATAATCATTCTAAACGAGGTTTTAAAGAAAATAATTGATTTTTTAAATCTTTTAAAAAGATTATTTTTCCCCAAATGTTTATTCTGGATTTATTTTTCAACTTTTAGAGTTTTTTTTTAAATATCTTTATTTATATCTAAAATGTTCATTTTGAAATGTTTAACATTTCTGTTTTCAATCAAAATTTGATTTTAGCTATATAATTGTATACATTCTCAATTTACTACACCTGTTTAATTATTATTATATTTTAGTAAAACACAAAATTTATTCTCAAAATTCCAAAAATATTATGGCTAAAATTTGATTTTAGCCATAATATTGTATACATTCTCAATTTACTACACCTGTTTAATTATTATTATATTTTAGTAAAAAACAAAATTTATTCTCAAAATTCCAAAAATGTACATCGGATTTCAAACTTATCGTTCAAATTCCAGAGTTTTTTTTCGCACTCGAAAGTTATAGTTTGAAATCCAGAATATCCATTTGGTATTCAGAATGTATTTCTTTTGGATTTTTTTGTAAGTTTAGAATTTACAATTTCTGATGATTATTTTTCTATAAATATAAATTACATTACATTAATTTAACTATTTTTCTTAAATTAAATTTATTACGACTTAAAAAACAATTTAAATACTTAATTTTTTGAAATCTCCTTTCTATTCTAATGAAAGAATATGTTTATTTTTCTTTTGTCATTTGTCATCCTGTTAGGTTTCATAACTAATGTCATACCATTTGTCAACCTATTGATTTTGAATTTCAAAATTTAAATTTCAAATTTCAAATTTTCTACATTAATAACATTAAATTAATAATATTAAAATTAAATTAAAATAAAGTTAATGCAAATTATAAGATAATATAATTCTATATAATAAAAAAACATCTCTTAATTGATAATTTATTTAAAATAATTAATTAATAATTTTAAATTTTTAATATAAAAAATTTAATTATTTTTATAACTATAATTTTCACAGAGGTTATAAACACAGTTAATTATAACTTAATATATAACTTAATTATAACTTAATATATAACTATAAACAAACTTATTTTTTTCAAAATCACACACAAACCTAGTTGATACCACAAAAAAGAAAAAGGAGAAAAAAACCATTAGATTTTGCGTTGAATGGACACCTCATCAACTCTAAAAAAAAAATTAAAACCCATCTTCTCCCTCCTCAATACTCTCTCTCTCTCTCTCTCTACTCAGGCCACCCACTAACCCCAGCCTCTTTCCTCCTCCACCATCTCTGCAAAACCCAATTCTCTCTCTCCTTCTCAAGCGACAAGCATTACCCAATAAACAAGTACAAAATGGAAGACTCTGCAGCATCTATACCATCGATATGGGCATCCATGAACAGCTGGTTCACTCCCACTGTCCTCTTCGTCTTCCTCAACCTCATGATTGGAACCATTCTCTTCACCTCCAACTTACCCAACCATAATAAACCAGAGGATCAAAAGGAGAAGTCCCAAAACGACACGACTCAATCTAAACTTGCCAGATCTCCATCCATCCTCCATCGTATCAGATCTTTCAACTTATACCCCCACAGATCCCAACAAGACTCCACTCCGGTGACCCACCCCCAACCCCACTCCCACCACCAACAACAACCGGAAGAAACTCTAGAAACTGCTGCTACAGAATACGTCTTCAATCACCCTTTCCCTCATCACCAGGATGTCCAGCCGGTTTCTACACACACAGACAATTTGGATCTCAACCCAACCCGTTTCGACACTTTCGAACAAAAAGCCGACGCCGACGCTGCTCAATATGCTGATTTAAATCATACGAATGAGATACAACTCGCTAATGTGGAGACCCATTTTGTATTTGAACAGAACCACACCGTGGAGCGGGTGACTACCCATTTCGATTTCGGTTCGGTCGATGGTGAAACCCTACTCGATACGGATTCGATTGAGAACCATGAGGAAGAAAAGGATCAGTTTCAGAGTATAGATGAGGTTTATAGCAGTATAACAGGAGGACATGTTAACAGAACAAAGTCCGACACTTTGCCGGCATCGGGTGAGTTGCCTGTAAAACTACCGGCCAAGATGAAGAAGTCGGCAAGCTTGAAATCTGCATTCTCTCATTTCGAGGAGGAAAAGATAGTGGAGGCTCGTCGGCCGGCGACCGTCAGGGAGAGGAGGTCAGCGGCTAGGGCGACGGAAACGGGTGATGTGGAGGTGGACGCCAGGGCGGATGACTTCATCAACAAGTTCAAGCATCAGCTGAAGTTGCAGAGGCTGGACTCCATTATCAGGTACAAGGATATGGTAAATAGAGGGACTGAAAAATAAAATACCTTAATTTAGAAGGTGTTTTCTTTAACATTTGGGAAAAGCAGGGGGTTAATTTCGATACCCCTTAGGTTTAATGTTTTTTTGCCTCTGTAAATCTAAGCAATTGTGGGGGTTAGAAAAGACATTTGTTTTTTTTTTTCTTTTTCGTTTTGCTAATTTCCAAGAAAAAAGGGTTTATTATTATTTTAATGTTAGGGTTAATATTTTGGAAGATGGTTGCATATTTAATGATAATGTAATTTCCTTTTAAACAGTTCACTTTATTTTTTTTAATTAGGTAATTAAACAATAAATAATAACACTTTTAATGATAATGTAATTTTCTTTTAAACAGTTCACTTTATTTTTTTTAATTAGGTAATTAGACAAGAATTAATAACACTTTTTATTAATATGTTTATAATTAGGTAATTAGACAAGAATTAATAACACTTTTTATTAATATGTTTATGGTAGCGTGGTGCTTTTTTTTTTCATGACAACGCTCAATTGTGTTTAAGGGTGTGTTTGGCATGAAGCTTTTTGAAGCGTTTGGGAGCTTCTAACTTTTAGCTTTTGACAAAACGCTCTAGTTTAAACAAAAAACTTCGTTTGGCGGTACGAGCGTTTAGCTTTTAGTTTAAACAAAACGCTCAAATTCTAAAAGCTACTTCATGTAGCGTTTAACAAAACGCTACCGAGCTTTTGAAATCAATTTCCATAATTACCCTTAAAAATATATTTATATATTTATTTATTTTTAATCAGATGTCCTTTTATATAATTTTATATATTTCAAAAGCTTCTAGCTACTTTTGCCAAACATTCATATAACAAATAAAAGTTACAACTTCCCGCTACCAGCTACTCGCTACCCGCTACACGCTACCAGCTACCCGCTACCAGCTAACCGCTACCCGCTTCCAGTTAACAGCTACTTTTGCCAAACACGCCCTAAAAGACATATGATTAAAACTTTTTAATTTAATATTTTTCATAATGGGATAATATATGTTGGATAATCTCACATTAAAAGTTATTATATATTATGTTGACGATGTTATAAACTTATATAAAAGTTATTATATATTATGTTGATGATGTTATAAACTTATATAAAAGTTATTATATACTCCCTCCGTCCCAAAATTATTGTCCACAGACAAAAAACACACAGATTAACGAAACATTAATTACCACTAACTTTATACAATAAAATAACAGTTTTGTCCATACTTTGCATTTAATATTTCATTAAATGCTTAGTTGGTTAAGTAATAATGATGAGGTATTTTGAAAATGTTATTTATTTTTAGAAGTGGATTATTATTTTGGGACAAACCAAAAACGAAAGATGGACTATAATTTTAGGACGGATGGAGTATTATGTTGACGATTTTATTAACTTATAACTGTATTCATTTTTCAATTGTAATACGAAGAAATGAAAATAAAATACCAAGACAAACTCAAATGGATACATAATAACTGTGATTATGTGGGGCGTGTTCAACAAAATTAGTTGGTAGCGGGTAGTTTGTAAAGGGTAGTGGGTAGCTTGTAGCTTGTAACGTTTTGTTAAACGCTACATTAAGTAGCATTTGGATTGGAGCGTTTTGTTTAAACTAAACGTTAGAAGCTTGTAGTGCCGAACGAGACTTTCTTTTCAAAACGGAGCGTTTAATCAAATGCTAGAAACTAGAAGCTATAAGCTCTCAAACGCTCCGTGCCGAACACGCTCGTGGACTCAAATGGATACATAATAACCGTGATTATGTGGTGGCTGATGTGAAATTTTAGAAACGATATTTTGTTTAAACTGGTACGCCACTTCGGGCCTTCAGCCTATCTGGAACGTTCTCCGGGCCTTCGGCCTGACTGGTACGCCCCACTGGCCTTCAGTCTATCCGGGACGCCCTGGGTCTGTTGGCCTTCAACACAAAGCAGGTCCACCTCAACCCAACCACTCATACCCCGTGTCGACACACACACACACACACAGATATATATATATATATATATATATATATATATATATATATATATATATATATATATATACCATAATAAATGAAAATAGTTTTATCACATGTCATTTTGTGGTTATTTTGAATTAAGTTTTATTTCACATGTAACTTTATGGTTTTTCTATTTTATTAAATTTTATATGATATTTAAATTTAATAATAAATGCATATAAATTTTATTAATAGACTTTCCTTATAAAATCTCATTGATTTGCTTTGGTTATCTATCTAAATTATTTGTTTAAATTTAAAAGAGAAAAAAAAACACTTTAATTTTAATAATTCAATATTTTTTTTTTCTTATAAATTCAAAATTTTCAAATGTTTATACATATTTAATTGTTTTAAATACACCCATGTAATACATGGGGCTCACACCTAGTTTGTGTGTGTGTGTGTGTCTATATATATATATATAATATATATATATATATATATATATTATATATATATATATATATATATATATATATATATATATATATATATATATAACAGATAATCATGCAGTTAACCAGCCAATAACAAACAGACAGATTACTAAACATAACATCATCATATCTATCAGGATACATATCTAACAGATCACTACAATACTCAATCATGCAATAATCAAGATAAAAATCCAAAACGGGCCGACCTTGGTGTCTTCGACCCGAATGTACAGTGAGGAACACCCACCTCACACTGACGAATCGCACAGAAAACCTCCGGCTGTTGGCCCATTAAAATCCCGAACTATCACAACAAATAAACATCCAATTAACAATTTAATTACCATCCTTGACTAATTACCCAAACTTAGGGTAAATGACCACTTTACCCTATCCATAATTGGGCCAAGACTTAGGCCCAATTATTGATTCAAAAAGCCCAAAATTATACAAGGCCCATCATTGGCCTAATTTTCCAAATTGGGCCCAAACTCCTTTTTGGGTCTTATCCTAAGGTCCAACTCTTCACTTGGCCCAAAACACTCATACTCAGATAGACCAATAAGGGCTCAAGCATTCCAGCCCAAAAGGTGGCCCAAAACTTGAAGCCCAACATCCGAAGTCCAACAGAAGGCGTACGCGGGGCGTACTCCTTCGGTACGTTGGGCGTACACCGCCTCGCATTGACCCACAACGGGGTGGCTGTATACATTTTGTCCTTATGACCGGCTATTTTCCGTAAGCCGGAAAAAAATAAGTTAAAAACGTAATATATTTTTAATTTTGCACACATTTAGTTTTTGCATATTTAGTCCTTAATATTTTTTTTGTTGCAAAAAAAGACCTTGTTTTTGTACACATTCAATACTTATGACCAGTTTTTTTAGGTTTTTCTCACGATATATTTTGCGGGACAATCGTTTAATAAGGTGTTTAGGGTTGCTCATGCTTATGGTCACCGCGACATCGACTGCTTGATTGCTTAGTTTTTGTGGTTTGACTGAGGTCTTGTGTTCTGAACGTCGTAACTTCTTCATACGATCATGGATTTTAACGATCTTTATATCCACATGTTCATATTTGAGTCTACTACAGTTTTCGTTTAGATTACTCCCGTTAAAAAAATTATATTTTTAATTACAATTTTATAAAAATACATTCATACATACATTCATAAAGAACGCATGGATATAAAGATCATAAATAAAAAATATATTACTTTTTAACGGAAATAATCTGAATGAAAGTTGTAGTAAACTCAAATACGAACATGTGGATATAAAGATCATTAACTTTAGTGATCATTTGAAGAAGTTTTGACGTTCAGAACACAAGACTGAAGCCAAATCACAAGAACTAAGCAATCAAGCAGCCGAGGTAGCAGTGACCATAAGCATGAACATCCCCGAACACCTTATTAATGATTATCATGTGCAGGATGTTGTGCGAAAAACCTAAAAAAACCGGTCATAAGTACTGAATGTGTAAAAAAATTACAGTGACTTATTTTGCAACAAAAAAAATATTAAAGACTAAATGTGTAAAAAAAACATTAAAGACTAAATGTGTACAAAATAAGAAAAAATAAGACCCTTTTAAGTCATTTTTCCGGCTTATCTGAAGTAGCCGGTCATAAGGACTAAATGTGTACAGTTAAACAAGTTGAATGGGTACATGTGGATGAAAAAAAAAAACTCAATGACTAAATGTATACAAATCGAAAAATATATTACCCTTTTAAGTCATTATCCCTACATAGAAAACAAAATGTATACAAATCGAAAAATATATTACTCTTTTAAGTCATTATCCCTACATAGAAAATCGTCATGATTTTTATTTTTATATTTTGTATTTTTTTTATTTTTTTTATTTATTTATTTATTTTTTTTTTTTTTGGGTAGTTTTTAATTAAATTCTAGTGTAGAAACATCGATCCTGTAGCCCTTCATATATAAGACAAAAAAGAGACTTTGAAACCGAAGATCAACACCAAAAGGGAAAAGCCGATTAGAGTTTCATTGATTAAAGAATATTTACATTTGCTATGTAAGCAAAATGTATTATGAATAGGAAAACAACTACAGTAGTACCCTACGAAAAAAAACTATACTAAACTAGCATTGCAACTAATTGTGTAATTATAGTGAATAATTATAAAATACTAAAATATAAAATATATGTGGGATAAAATCTCCTCAACTCACTCAGTCAAGAGGGGAAAACATAAATCAAGTGTACCTTATTAAAAACAACATCAATCTGCATACAGGAACAAACATAAGACAATACGGTAGTCCCAATCTACATTGCATTTTGATTGCAAGTTGTATCATACTTCGACTGTCACAACTCAACAAAATAAGTTGATAAACATCATCATTGTGTCCGCAAGTAATCATCGTAACCAAATAACCTCATATGTAGTTACATACATTGCACCATACTCGACATCGGTGGAGGATTGGAAAACAAAATCTTGTTTTTAGCTCTTACATTAAATAAGAAAATCGCCGAGAAATATACAAAAATCTAATAGTGGACTTGTGATATTTTGATTTGTATGATCCGATCACCATGGTAAGCACGTAGGTCGTAGCTCCATGAAAGATGTCTAAGGAAACAAAAGACTGAAATTATGTGTCTTGTAGATATATGAAGAGCAATAGAACACAACCTAATGAGTAGTAACAAATTGATTGACCATATAAATTACATGCGTTATCACAGTGAGATAAATCGAGCTTCCCACAATGGTATAGTAAATAGGTTTTGACAATGGAACACCATCTGTCAAAGAGTAAAAACCATTGATTTCAAGAGGAACATTATCAATAAATGTACGTGACTAAGTATCTATAACCTCACCTGGTGTATGGTGTCTTGAATGGTCCATAAATATCAATATGTATAAGGGCCAATAGTTCCCTAATTATATTAACATTTTCAATAAAGGATTTGTTTGTTAGTTTTCCACAAACAAGCTTCACGTGTCATATGAATATGATTCAAACAAGCATTCCTAATAAAGTTTGGATATGATTTTCTTATTTACCTGGCATAATAGACGATGCCATAAATAGGAATCATCAATATTTATTTCACAAATAGAATGAGCTTTTAGTTTCTTAATTCTAAGACGAGCATGTTATTAACTAAAACGATTTCATGTAAAACAAAATCCATTTTGTTTATAGAAATATTTTTATCATTGATAATATGATGATACACGTCATCAACTAAAGAACCAAAAGAAACAACGTATTAGGTATATAAATGCAATTGTTTAAAACAAAAACAAACCTACTTGCAAAACTAGTTCATAAGATTGTAAGTCTCTTAACTGTAAATATTTCTTTATTAAAGACCTGAAAATCAACTCTTGTTTATGCAGGCGACTTGTCCTTCTGAACACATACATATTTGTACAAATACAGGTTCTATAGCTCGTATCCAATACCCAGTAATGGATAAGATAGTGTATTAATTTGTAATGAAATAAATTAGTAAGAAAGCTATTTACCCTCTTTAATTTAGGGTACTTTGGTCAATCGATTGGTATGAGTGACTGTGTAGGAAAAAGGAATAGTGGCATGTGCGTAAGATGTTTAGTTGGCATCGCCACGTGGGAAATGTTGCTTTCACAAATGTGGGACAATGGGGGTAGAGACGTAACTTCCATAAGGTTCTCTCGAAACGACAAATAAGGGTTTTCCCCGTTCTCATGATTTGGAGTTTAGCCAAAACCACAAAGTAAATTGATGAATCTGACCCATATAAATGATTTTTTTGACAAAAATAATTTTTTTTTATTTTTTATAAAGTAACCACATTGTCCGGAACAATCCAGAACATAAGGGTGCGTTTGTCCAGTAAGATTCCTAAGGAAAGTGAAGTAATTGGAAACTAGAATCCGATGGTCAGTGTGTTTGACTTACCAAATGAATGGAATCAAATTTCTATAATCATCTTTTAATTCTGTATTGATTGATTTCTAATTCTTTCCCCATCCATCAAGAATCTATATTCAATTCCATATCTTTTTTTAAAATGATGTAGCTATCTTTCTATTATCAAATACGATTTTGAAATAAAAAAATATCTATTTGATTGTCATTATCTTTTCCACGATTACTATCTCCCGTGGTTCATATATGTTTCTCTCTCAATCGGTATTGCAAAAGGATTCCATCGACGATCATTGTTGCTGTGAACCTGTTGTTGTGAACCTGTGTTATCGTATCTGACCTGAGGTGAGTTATTCTTCTAGTTCTGTGTTGTATCCTTCATCTGTGAATATATGCTAATGTACTTCATCTCTATATATGTGTTCGTTTACTGTACTTCTAATTCTTTTAATTCTTCTATTGTACTTCATATTTGTTTTCTTTTATGTGAAGTACCAACAATTATCCCTACAAGTATATGTAATTGTGTTGAAATTTAGGGAAAATGACTTTTGAGGGTAACTAACTGTTGCGTTTGTTCTCATTTTGATCCCTTTTCCTTTTTTTATACTCAATATACCATCGAACTTGTTGTTTGTGTTCACCATAACCCTTTTGACCGGATTTTGACCGACTATCACCTGTGATAGCTGGTCAAAGGGTTATGGTGAACACAAACAACAAGTTTGATGGTATATTTAGTACACAAAAAAAGGAAAGGGACCAAATAAGGACAAACTCAACAGTTGGTTACCCTCCTGAGTCATTTTCCATTTACTCATTTACAGAAAATCTCACGTCATCTCCTGCTTATATTAATGATTTTATGAAATTCATTTTTGTTTCTCTTCAAAACATAACTCACGAAAGAACATTATTCATACATGTACAACTTTGTAATGCACTTGAATATATATTAGGGGAATCTTAACTAATCAGGTGCATTTCATGACTACATTTACATTTCCAATCAAATGATTTATCGTATCATGGATTCTGGACAAGTCTACAAACGAATGGAATCACAAGTGCTGTGATTTTTGAGTTTACTTGGCTTTAAGATCGAATTCATGAGAGAAGATACAACATCAATATGTACAAGATCATGCAGCTTTTGCAGACACATCACCATAATATACCTTGAGGTAAACGTTTATGTTGATAAATATACCTCTCATACACAGTCATATCCTTTTGTAGAGAGGTGTTGACAGCTAACCATAATAAGCATAGCATAGACCATGTTTTAACGAAGCTACCCCTCCGAAACGCTCTTCATGTACGTTATGGCCAAAGAAGGTTGCAACCTTTGATATTTTTGCAACTTTAATTTTATTTAACTTTTTGGTGAAAATGACTCAGGAGGGTAACCAACTGTTGAGTTTGTTCTCATTTGGTCCCTTTCCTTTTTTTGTACTCAATATACCATCGAACTTGTTGTTTGTGTTCACCATAACCCTTTGACCGGCTATCACAGGTGATAGCCGGTCAAAAGGGTTATGGTGAACACAAACAACAAGTTCGATGGTATATTGAGTACAAAAAAAAAGGAAAGAGACCAAATGAGAACAAACGTAATAGTTAGTTACCCTCCAGAGTCATTTTCCCTTGAAATTTATTATTGGTAATGTGTAAAAAACTGCTTGTATAAGTATACATACCAAGTGTTTGTGTTTTTACTTGTGTGGTGTCTTATTTTTTATGCATGCATGACTTTTTTTGTTTTCAATACTTTTGCCATTTATGTTTGTTTTCTTGGATAAGATGAGACAAAAATCCACAAATGCTCGAAGGATTGATTATTATTTTGCCTATGTTGGATATGATCAAGAAGGCTCGGGTGGAAGGATTGAAAAAGGAAAATTGGAAAGCGGAGTGGATCAGGGGGCAGATTCATTTATTTGCTAGGGACAGTCGGGGATTGTTGACTCAATGTAGTAGAGTTTGAGTTCCGACTACTGGTGTGGTAAGGCAAACAATGCTGGAAGAGGCTCATAAGTCAAAGTTTTCAATCCATCTGGGGGCCACGAAGATGTATCGGGATCTAAAGCTGAGTTATTGGTGGCCCTGTATGAAAAAGGAGATATCATGGTTTGTAGAGTGGTGCCTGACTTGCAGGAAAGTTAAGGCCGAACATCAGAGACCCCACGACAAGATGCAATCGTTACCCATTCCCATGTGGAAGTGGGAAGAGATCACCATGGATTTTATCACGAAGTTGCCAAGGGCGGCGCGCGGAGTTGATTCCATTTGGGTCATTGATGATAGATTGACCAAGAGCACACACTCCGTGCCTATTGCTGAGAGTATATCTGATGAGAAGTTGGATGACATTTACATTCGGGAGGTGGTGGTTCGTCATAGGGTACTAGTTTCAGTAGTTTCGGACCGAGATGTTCATTTCACCTCCAGGTTTTGGAGGAAGTTTCACGAGGAGTTGGATAATCAGTTGCACTTTAGTACAACATACCACCCTTAGACCGACGGTCAGAGCGAGCGAAAGATTTATATGCTCGAAGATATGCTCCGGGCGTGTGTGTTAGATTTTGGAGGGAGTTGAAACAATTACCTTCCACTGGCTGAGTTCTCCTACAAGAACAGTTATTATGCCAGTATTGACCTACCACCTTTTGAGATGTTGTATGGGAGGAGGTGCACGACCCCGATTTGCTGGAGGGGGGGGGGGAGGTCGGGCATCGGGTCATGGGGAGTACTGAAGTGGTACTCAAGACCACTGAAATGATTCAGTATGTGTGCGACAATTTGTGATTTGTGCAAAGTCGACAGAAGAGTTATAGAGACCGGCAACAATCGGACCTCTAGTTCTAGGTGGGGGACTTGGTGCTTCTAAAGGTGTCACCTTGGAAAAGTGTCATCCGATTTCGGAAGCGGGGCAAGTTGGGCCCTCGATTTATTAGTCCCTTCAGGATCACCGTCCGGGTGGGCAAGGTTGCATACCGACTAGATTTTCCTGATGAGTTCAGTCAAATCCACAACACCTTCCATGTCTCTCAGTTGCGGAAGTGTGTAACCGATGAGTCGACGGTGATCCTTTTGGATGATATTCAGGTCCATGAGTGCCTGAACTATGTGGAGATGCCGATTGCGATTCTTGACAGGAAGACCAAGGCTCTGTGCAATAAAGAAGTGAACCTGGTGAAGGTGCAATGGCAGCACCAGAAAGGCTCGGAATGGACGTGGGAGCCTGAGGATGAGATGAGGGAGCATTACACAGACTTGTTTGTAGTGACAGACTTCGAGGACGAAGTCTGATTCAAATGGGTACACCGATCGTAGGACCCTATGTGTTGATCGCAAATCTGTAGTGGTGTAGATTATGATGAAAATGCGGAATATGAAAGATCTAGTGAATCATTTTAAGAATCATGAACATGAAGAACACAAGATAGTAAATAAATGTGGTTTAAGCTCTCATTAGTTTTTTATAGAAAGAGTACAAATGGGTCTTACTATTTCTCTCTCTAAAACTAATGCTCTCACAAAATGTTCCTTATATAAATGAGTGTCACTCACTTCTTATTTATAGGAAATACAACTCATTACACAATACAAGAGGGTAAGCACACCATACATCCAAGCGTAACTTTGCACCCTAACATTATCCCCCTCAAAGTTAGGATTGGATGTCCCGGCTTCAATATCTAACGAGCTCGCGAGATCAAGACTAACTCCCCCTCGAAATGATTTCGGTCTTCAAATCCGCAAATGAATACCCGAAGCTTCGAATACCCACTCTTCATTCTCCCTCTTTTTATAATCAAAAAAATGATTATAAAACCCATTAAGGGTGAGAAGCGCCTGAGGAATAATCTTCACAAAACTCCCCCTTTATGTGTGCTCCCCCTCAACATTAGGTATCAAATTCAAGTGCTCCCCCTCCACTTGATCACCTTGCAACACTGGGTGAGTTTCGACTTGAATTGGAGAAATCGTTGTGGATTGTGAAACATCATCATCCTGAGTTATAGTCGAATCATCAGAATGCTTCGATGCTTCAGGAATTTGATTATCTGTTGCATGTACTTCTGCATCGATTGCCCTGTCAGGAACATCAAAGATTAAGTCCTAATCAAAATCGAAAGAATTTAAAATTGATGACTCATCAGAGGATTCGTTAATAATGGGCTTCTGTTCGAAAGTCTTTTCGACACGTTTCACAAAATAATCATCAAAAGTTAGATTGAATGTTTCTTCAATCTTCTTTGTTCGCTTGTTCAACACCCTATATGGAACAGAATTGTGTAAATATACCAAGAATATCCCCTCATCGGCTTTTGAATGAAATTTCAAAAGGTTATCCTTAAGATTCATAATAAAGCACTTGCAACCAAAAACATGGAAAAATTTCACATTTGGTTTTCGATTGTTAATGATTTCATAAGGGGTAATGTTAAAACGATGATGAATGAAAGATCTGTTCTGAGTAAAACAAGCTATCGAAACCGCCTCTGCCCATAGATATTGAGGTAGATTCGCAT